TGTCATGCAGGGCTTGAAAGGCGGGTGGTTTGGGTGAGGTTTACAGAGCTGCAGGAACTCAAGAGTGGAAGTTGAGTTTGACTCTCCAGCTCTTCCTGGTTCTTCAGCACGGCTGCCACCGGGACTGGCTCTGGAGGTGGGCTGGGGTTCGAGGGATTTCCCCTGCTCGCTGCCAGCCCTTGACACTGACATTGAGGTAGATGTGGTAAGGTGAGCTTGGGTTGCAAATGTGAAAAGCAGGGAGAGTGTGGCCTCTGTGGTATTGTCTCCTCTTTCCCAGCAGAAGCTTTCCTGGGAAATGTAGGACCTGGAGACGGAGTGCTGCTCACTTGGGTGAGGAATGGTGTCCCATCAGCGACTACTGCAGAGTTGTGCAGATATTTAAGGGTATTACGGAGCTTCTGCAAAGGAGTGCTGCGGCTGGGACCTGCAGGTAGGTCGGGGAGCTCTGCAGGCAGCGCAGGGGACCAGCGTCCTCCGTCTGAGCATCCCTGGTCTGCAGCGTAGCCTGTGAAATTGAAATGGACAGCCAGCCTCCCTGCCTGCTCCGGCACACAAGCAAGCCCTGCTAATGAGGAAAGTGGAGGGAGAAAACTCAATTGGGCAAATTCCCCTGGAGCTTCCCGTGTGAGTCACGTTCCTGGCGCTGGAGGAGATTATCAAGGCAAATGTGTTAATGTTGCTAATAGGCAGGCAATAAATGGAGATGCTAAGATATGTCACTGCAGAGATCTGACTTGATCTGTTGTTGGAGTGAGTCTCTGTCACCATGAAATTTCACAGCACATCCTCCTGGCAGAGGCAAACCCTGGGTGAGGGATGCACCGCCGGCCCCCTTGGCCAGGCAGGCGTTCTCTCTCCTTTTTCCTCTGCTGTGGCAGAAGGTAAGAAGTTTGCTGCTGCTTCCAAGTATGGAATACAGGAAATTACATGTTTGAGAAGGAGCATTCCTATGTCCGAGGTAACCGTGCTGCGTTATTCCCCAGTGTGATATTTAATTACGTTCCGTGACAGTGAATTTAATTATGCCCCATACTGCAGTGTCCTGGATGGAGATTTAATGAAGAAGTGGTGTCTGTCTGGAAGGGAGTTTTTTTCTTTGTCTTTAAAATAACCATTCTTTGTTGCCAGTAGTCTGTGTTGCTTCTTCCCCTTACTTTGTCTGCAGCAACAGGAATTTTAACAAACCTGATGAACTGAAGTCATTGCTATCCCAGCAAGCAACTGTGTTTTTTAGTAAGAATGGAAGGCATAAAGCAAGCAGCTAAATTGAAGTTTGGGTTTTGTGGATGGTACCAGGGGACTGGAATGGCATTTTGGCATTGTCCCTCATAAACACACAAATGTAGTTTCTCTGTTATAAAAAGGGGAGGCAGCAAACTTGGAGGAGAGACGAGTCCTTCAGCTTCTCGCTTGCCTGCATTTGGAAGAGGCTCCAGCATCACAAGGTTGGATGCTGCCCTCTTGGATGCTGGGAGACTTTTGACAAAGGCCACTTTGGTCTCCAGCAACAGGATGCAGGGTGTTTGGTGTATAGCATCTATAAGCAAATGAGTTTTAAATTAGTACCCACCTGTGGCCCCCCCAGGTCAGTGTGACTCATGGGACCAACACACTGCTGACAACTGAGCCATTTTTTGTTGCTCTATTTAGGAGTCTAAAATTAGTTTTGAAAATTACAGCTTTGCGGACTTCCCCTCCGCCGCATAGGAAATCTGGGGCAGAGGCAAGAGCTGCAGCTGACTTTGGGCCATTGCTCCTACCACAAGCCCGTCGTCCTCCCTTTGCTTTGGGAAGGCTTGGTGCGGGGCCCGGGATTTGACTCGTGACAGCAGGGTCAACTGGAGGGGTTACGTGTGACTCTGAACTCCTGCAGGCTTGGGGCCTCTGGGGTCCAAGACCCCAATTTGTAGACCCTGAATTAAATAACTCATATTCTGGATGTATCTGGGAGGGATGCATGATTTTAATAGCTCTGTTGCTTATTAGCAAGCCACAGTGAGATTTTCAAGATCAGCTAGTGACTGCTGGTGTTGGTGGGGAGGGGAGAGGAACTGGGGTTTCCAGCAGACAAGGCTTCCAGATGGCTGGGGGTACTTAGCACCTTCTGGTAATTGGCATCTTCTTGGCACCTTGCGCACGTAAGAATGGGAGCAGCGTGCATCAGTCACGCTTCTGAATATGGGACTCTTCCAAATACCCTGGTGCTAATTCACAGATAAACTATAATTACTGGATGTTCACTGAATGCAGAGTGCTTTTACTCTTTAGATTCCTTGCTTTGCTCTTTGCATTCAATTCGAAGTTCTGATAATCTAAGGTTAAACTTTTCAAGTATGTAGGTTGTCCAGTTAGCTTTAATTAGAAGACCTCTCTGTGTCGTGGGCTTCTTTAGCCACCCAGCCAAGAAGCTGACGGGATGTTGTTTTCCCTGACTGCGTGCACAAAAATGCATGGAGTTATTTGAGGAAATCTGAAAGAAACTGCTCGGTTTTCTGGGTTTGTTTTTTTTTGGGGGTGGGGTGTCTATACTTAGTTTAAACACATCTTCAAGCCATAATAAATGTTTCCTAGCCAAGAAGATTCCACAGAGAGATTTGGGGTGTAATTACAAGGGAGGCAGGAAAGCAGTGCATGCACATCTACAGTAGCATCCAACCACTGGATTTCTGAGTAGGAGTTGACTTGATCTGCAGCCAAGCTTAAATTCAGCAGCTCCCCAAGTTGTGGCCTCTCCCGTGAAATGCCATGCTCATGCTGTAGGAGGTAGGCGACTGGATCTGTTTCACCCTGCCTGGCAAGAAAAGTGAAAAAACAAACTGGTAATAGGATTTCAGCAGACAGGGGGGTGGAGGGAGGAAGATGCCATGAGTTTGTACACTCGCAGTGAGCTTTCTCCTAAGCTTGCTGAACTTTGGCTGTTGCGGTTGTGAAATTGGAAACTATTATATAACTGTGGTGTAGCTATTTCGTAATAATGTGTTCTCTTTGAGAGATATTTTGGTTCACTCAGGTCAGAATAGTGAAAATGAGCTACTGAAGACAAATTGGGGAGGGTGGGTCATGATCAAGGTAAAACTAAAACCTGAAGTGCTTGGGCTGGGAAGCCCTGATAATCTTTGTTCTGAAATACTGAAGTTGATTGGAAATTGCAAGTCCAGCAGCAGGTGTCTTCAGCGAATCTATCAAATCAGGATAGATTGACAGGGGATACTGTATGACTGGTGAATGCAAATCTAAGTGATTTGTGTACCCACAAATGTTTATTATATAATTTAAGTTACACAGGGGAGTTAATGTAGAATTTAAATTACACAGCCAGCTCAGTGTGGAGAATGCAACAGCCACTTACCCACAGTCAGTAATGCAGGTTTTGCTGAAAAATAGGCAAAGTCAAGTAATAAAACACTTCTGGCTATGGAGCAGGCCCACCTTTTGTGCACTCCGCCAGTCTTAATGTGAAACAAATCCCCAAAATGGGGGAGGGCTTTACGTGTTAGATCCACGCAGTGAGGTGACTGTGGGCTGGAGAGAAATACTGCCAGTGGAAGGGCAAAGCAATATTGTCTATAATTCTAGATTCATCCCTGTGTGTTTGCAGGATAAATAAATTAAATTGTGTGATGTTCCTCATCATGGTCTCTGAAACCCAGTTTGGGTGATCCATGGGCAAATATCGGTCTCAAACAAAAATGCAGCAATTCTGAAATAGCATGAGGATTTGCTGTACTGTGTTCATGTTTATAATCACGCATTTTATTTTGTTAAGGATTTGTAGAAAATTAAAGGAAATCAAAACGCCAGTTTACTTTTAAACTTCACTGTCACAGGCAGATTGGAAGAGGAAGCCATCTGTATTTTGGTTTTAATGTTTAGAAGTGGAAAAAATGGAGCCCAGGTGTGGATTGGCAGCCCTGTTGATGCTGTTTTTTCAGCTCCCATAGCAGGAAGGATATTAGACAGGATTTCTAAAGTGGTGTAAATAAGGCGCCTGGGGCATTTCTCCTGCTGTGGGGCTGTTTTGTTCTTGAAAATAATATCTAGAATTAAAATGTACATGGTTCTGTTAGCTCCACTGCAGAGCAAAGAATGGCAAGTCTTGTGTTTGGCAGGGGAGCCAGGAGAGGGCAGATCTCTGAGGGGGCAGAAGGTGTTTGAGATGGGCATTACCCGAAGCCAGTTGTGCTGCCGAGGTCCACCTACTCCGTTGTCAGCTGAGAGGAGGAAAGAAAAACCCTACAGGGATGAGAGAGGTTGTTGTGGTTTTGTTCTGTGGGACGGGTGTGAAAGCCTTTGCTGGGGATTAACAGGATCCCCTCAAGCACAAGGGTGGAAGGGCTGGGAACAAGTACTTCTGGCTTTGTGAGGATCGGGTCGGTCACTTGGTTTAAGAAAAGAGGAGAAGAACAATTCACTGCATCCCTGTCCTACCAGCTCTCCAGCGTCCCCAGACTTTGTTCCTTCTGCTGGTGCCATGGTGTCCCGTACCAGTATTCTGGCAGCATTGGAGACCTTCAGCGTACCTCTGATCAGCTAGTCGGGGAAAAACCCATCACCTCATTTCTTCTTCCCGAGTTTGAACTGGGCATTTGTAGGGATCTCATTCCCCCTTTCCACGTCTCCTGCCTGTCTCTGGAGTTTGATGCTCTTCGAGTGGTGTGAGGTCCTCTGGAGCCATGGCGTGCTGGGAGTGTTCGGAGCGAGGGCTGAGCATCTGGGTGCTGCTGCCAGTGCTCGACCTTCCCAGGGCCTTGAGGGCAACGCGCTTCTGCTGCTGACCGCAGCTGAGGACGTGCTTCTGGGAGGGCAGTGCTATCGCAGTACTGTCCACACCTGCAGACGGCTCTTGTGAATGCGGCTTGGAGACAAGGCTTAAGTTGCATATACATGGAGTAGTTGGAAGGCACGCAGTTTTGCTCTTCCCTCCAAAATGTATTTTCCTTTCAGAAATGCATGTTGTGAGCGTAACAGTCTTAGCTCTTCTTCTTTTTCTCTTCCAGAGTAAGGAGATTGGCTTACAGATGCATGAAGAACTCCTGAAAGTCACCAATGAGCTTTACACGGTGAGTAATGAGCTGATCCTACCCATGCCTAGCCTGTGCAGCGAGGGGAACGCAGGCAATGTCATTTGTTAGAACAAAATGTCTGTTCAATGTTTCAGCGACTTGAGGAGGCTTGCTCTCCCTCCTGCCATCCTGCGGTACAGCCCATTCGTTCCTCTTGCATTTGTTAGAAATATTTCACTCTTCACTGGTTTTGACGGCAGCAGAGGAGGATTTCCCAGCGGTCCTACCGTGAAGGGTTTCTGCGGCCGCATCAGGCAGCGGATCATGCCATGTAACTGTTTCACTTAAGCGTAAATGGAGATGTTTTGGGCATGATCGGGTGAGATCCCTGGTGTCTGTAATGCTCTCACCTGCTGGGCCTTCTACACCGTGTTGCCTTTAGGCCCATTTCAGTTTTCGCTTGGTTGGTGATTTCTACGAGGCGCTAATGGCTCAGAAGTCGTGCTCTGAGTTGACAGTGCTAATTTGTGGCTGAAACCTGACCTGCTCACGTGAGTCTGGTGGCCTGTGGATGATGGCTGAACATGACCTTCTGCTGGGGAATGCATAAAAGTTTTAGTTTGTATGTGCTCAGCTTCATCTTCTGCTCCAAGGAGCACTTTGGTTATGGAGCCCTTTCTGTGCCTCCAGGTGAAACTGTATGCTGTTACTCAGGACATTGCTCTTCAAGCAGGTTTTCATAGTAGGGCAGTAAAAGTCTTTGTGTTGCTTCTGTCTCTTGCCCTGAAGCAATTGTTTGTGGTTTAGGATCAACAAAGCAATATAAAGTCTGTCTTGTGTTGGAAAATTGAGACAATATATTTCCTTTCTTTGGTTGTATCTGTTACTGGTACATAAATAACACTGCAGTAGGTTTATTCCTAAACAATCATATTATTCCATCTTTTTGAAAAATAGACCTAAACAACAGAGCATGAATGATATTATTTGAAATTTTGCCATAAATCTTCTCTTAGCAGGTTTGTTTCTGCATTGTTTTTTGAAGGATTCAGTTTTTGTGAGACCTGCAGTGTGGGTGGACAGCCAGGTTGGATTAAAAAGCCTGTGTGAGATTTGGGAGTGCGTTGTTGATAGCTGAATGTCACAAGCTGTGTTAGTGGTGGTGACTAATTAAGATTAATTACAACAGCAGCATGACAGATGCAAAACAAGGAGAGACTAACGAGGGCTGGGCTGACCTTAATACCTGTGGACCAGCGTAGTCAGAACGCAAACACGGGGCAGGAGCATCACTCTGAGGGACATGGTTAGGTCAGTTTGAGGATCGGAAGTGTGCTGAGGTCTGAAGTGTGTGCGGTTGGCCAAGGAAGAGCATAGAGAGTAGTTTTGCTCCCGCTGAGTCTCTGGCAAAACTCGTCTTCACTGGAGCTGAGATTTTCCTCCATTCACTGCTTTGCTCCCACATGCTGAGCAGAATGTGTTTGAATGGTGAAACAGACTGGAATGGCTGGAAGAGCTTTGTGTTTTCTTTGAACTGACCTTGCTGCTAAGATAACAAGCCGACTGTGTTATCTGGCTGGGAAGGAGCAGGGAAGAGACACGCTTATTTCAGAAAAGATGATGAAACATGAAGAAAAAGTAGGCCCTGTTGGGCAAACAAGATCATCTTCAATCTGTTCAGTGCAAACCAGCTCCCCTCCAGTCAGTAGTTTTCTGTCCTTGAGACATCAGGTAAAACAGGCTTAATTGCATACTTGGCTTGCAGGTTGATCCAGTGTGCTGGTGGTGTTTTGGGACACCTTCAGGACTCACCTGGAGTTCACGTGTTCGTTGCAACATGTGGGGCACCCAAGAGCACCACATTCAATAACTGTGGCTGCTGACAAAATCAGATACAGAATAAGGACCCCTGTCTCAAAGGACACTGAGCTGCTTCTTGTAAAATGTCATTTGGCTGCTGTCAATGCAAGGAAGTCGTTTATCTTGCCTATGGCCAAGCCTTGTATCCATAGTACATCTGGCTAGGCTGCATTTTAAGCCTTTCAGAGGGGAATTCTGTGCACTGTGTGGAAACTGTATAATTTTTTACAGGCTTCTCAGGCATTGACTGTCTCAAACTTAAGCCAAAATAACTAAATTGATTTTAGTTCAGCCTTGTTGCTGTTCTGATGCAAGTCACCCTGTGGACTTTCTCTGTGGAAAGAACTAAACCCAAAACCCATGCTGATTTTAATTAAAATGGAAGTAGATGACTTTCATTCTGAAGTAGGAATTGCTTGTGAACAGTTTTGCACAGAAATAATTTAGCTGTGAATTAAAGCCAGCTTCATTCTTTTGATTCCTGGTTACAGACTCCAGGAGACAGATACCAAGTTGGAGTCTGTAAAAGTTGGAGGTTCTTTATTCCATTGTTCACAGGTCACTTTCTGTATTGTATATATTCTTATCTGAAGAAGTCAGCCAAAATGTTAGGGTAAGAGAAACAGTAACCCCAGAGCACTGTTCTGGTAGTGTTTTCTGTAAGCTCTGGCAATGATGTATGATTTGGTGTATGGCACTAACAATGGGCTATTTGATGTATGAGCTTTGTTTGCCATAATGCAGGGACATGGCTATAGCTGAAGGCAGTGCATTGAAGTCCATAGAAGTGCTGTGATGTGAACTGGTGCAATTCTTTGTTACAAGGTATTATGGAAGAGGATTAATAACTGTGAAACGAATTGTATTCATTGGAATAATTTTTACAGATACACTACCCAGGTTAAAAATAATAGTAATAGTCATCATTCCCTGTGTAGCAGGACACAAATTGGCTGGGGGAAATTCTTCCTTTCCATTGGGAGTGCTGTGACGGGGGAGGCCATGACTCTGGGTGTTTTCTGCAAGTGTCTTGCTGTAGAAATCTTTGACTGTATCACACGGTCATTGCTCTGAAACATTGAAACATTGCTCTGTACCACACTGTAGAAATGCTCTGAAAAGTGCATGTTTGCTTTCATGCTTTCTTAGAAGACCAGGGAGATGGAGGTCAGGATCCATCAGCCTGATGGATTGGTCCCTTTCTTAGACCTTACGCTATGGGTGTCCCTTAGGTTGTGCCATAGGCTCCATCCAAAGAGGAGGGGGCTGGGGTCTTTGGCAGGCTTTCACCTATGGCTATGCTCATCTCTGCTTCACCCTGTGCGCTGGGCTTATGTTTTGGTCTCCTTGACTTCAGGAGTGCCTAAGCCTGTGCTTAACACAGGTCACCTGGTTTCTGGTCTGGCTCTTCTGCTGGGTCAGCACCTTAATGATGAGCTGTTTAGAAATATAAAGTGCTTCTAGCTGAAGATAGCAAACAGTGCCATTTATGGCTGGTATTTTGGCAATGGCCTTTATCCAGAACATGTTATTAATATTGGAAAACACAACTTGTGTTGTTAAATAACTAATGAACATCGGAACATATTTTTCTCCCTCCACCACAGCTAATTAACTTATTTGCAGAAAAGATCCTAGGAACGCAGCTGTGACAGTTTTTTATAACACAATAGTGTAAGACAGGGACAGTGTGACTCAATCGCAAGTGCTGAGAAGGCAACAAGGGAATTGCGGATCAAGGGGCTGATTGCTGCAGTGCAGGTAGTGCCTGTTCAAAATTAAGGCAGATCTTAAAACAAACAGAAATAGCCCCCGAATTTCCAAGCGTGAGCTGTGCAGCATGGCAGCTGATGAGGAACACAGTCGGCATAGTGAGCTGTTTAAGGCATCTGTTTCGGCAACGTGGACGCTGAAGTCTGGGGAGAATATTTTAACATGATCATGTTAGGTCCTTTGCACTTTGTTCAAGAGACTTTCAGAGGAGTTTTAAACTTGGTTCCTGTGTTACTTTTTCATGTTCAGGGATAAATTATGGAGGAGCAAAAAGGGTCTTTGTTAGGGAAAGTTTCTCTGGTCATTAGCAAATAAGTCAGTAGAAGCCTGTGCAAAGGTAGCTGGCCACAGCGGGGCTTGGACCCCCCTTGCGACGCTCTGCACGGTGGAGTCCTGCCTGGTGCGCTGGCTGCCGGCGTTCCCCTTGCAGCCGCGGGAGCCGTTGGAGTCCATGGGCTGCAGCAGCGTGTTCCCAGGCCTGTGGCAGAGCGGCGGAGCCTTGGGTGAACGGAGACAACTGATGGATTGCGCTGAACTTTTTCTGGTTAGGTAACCTTCTCCATAACCTTTAGATTTCACAAAAACCATGCAGTGTGGACTACTGTTTAATTGCTGGGCTTTTCTGTTGCATTGCGGTAGGGCCTCTCTGGGTGCTGGGGAAACCTCTCTCTCATTACTGCCTGACTGTGCTGAAGTGCAGGACTTTTCTTTTTCACTTGCCTCTGAGTTTTTCACAAAAAGATGGAGACTGTGAAGATGAGGAGGGCTTAGCGAACCCTCTAGTCTTTCTCTTCAGGAAAAACCCAGAAATTGTCAGTTTTGTGTGTGTCCTGTGACATTCACTGCACAAACTGCAGTTTGAAATATGTGGTTCGAATCTGTGTTAGAATTTGCAGGATTTTGAAATAAAGCAGTTCGGAAACAAGACACAAGCCTTTGCTTACTATTCCTTTTAGTTGCCTAAAATTGCAACTCCCAGTGATGGCACATTTGTGCAGGCTTCAGTGTGGCATTTGGAGCTCGTTTGCAGCTGACGTTTGTGCTTGGCAAGAGGGGAGATCATATGTTTCAGCCTAACCTTGTCCAAGTTAAACACTCCTGGTTCCTGCTGACAACCGCAGCTGAGGAAAACTCTGTATTTTCTTCATTAAGGCTTGTGCAAAGTTACTCTGCTTTTGTGGGTTCCTGCTCCTTTTCAACCTGTGGGCCTCGAGGCTAGCCTGTCCCAGTGCCGTTGCCGGTGGTGGCACTTTGTGTGAGACTGATCTTCAGCGAGAAGTCAGGGATCTCGAGCCTTGTCAAGGCAATGTGAAATAAACCATCCAAATCCTGAAGGGAGATGATAAAAGGGGACAATGTGACTAAAGGCATAAAGAGAGAAGAGCAGATGTGTTCCTCTTGCCAGCTCCACTAAAATGATCACCGTGTGCCCTTTGGGCTTTTGTATCTGAAAGGAAAGGCTGTGGTAGAAGTTTTGCCTGCAGGAGTTTTCCTGGCAGTAGATCAGCATCGTCTGTCCAGAGTCACTGATAGTGATCTTGAATTTAAAGGACATGGTGTTGCTAAAGTCCACTTGGGCACTAACTGTGCTTACTGGCAGCAGCAAGAGGAGATTTGAGTGGTGATAGGAGACAAACTCCATTTCTGCTTGGAAACTGCAGCTCCTCCACCTTCAAGATGGGATCTACTGTCAGGATGGTAGAGCAGGGCTTATGTTGGTGGGTTGGCTTAGCAAGTTCAAGTGTAGCAACAGAGGGGTTGGGTCAAAAGTGACTTCAGGTTGACTTTGGCCTCCTCACAGTCTCTTGTCATGGAGATCCTTAGCCCAGCTGCAAAGCACTGGAAGTTATTTCTCATTTCCCAGCCGGAAGATACACGGTGCCCTTTGAATGCAGGTGTGCGCTGGAGGCACATCTCAGCCTGTCCCTGCAGTGGGGACTGAGCAGGGACAACGGTTCTTACACCAGCTCTGTGCCATTTCGAAGTAGGGCTAACAATGGGGTTAATTTTTATGGGCTTTTCCTTCCCACCTCATTGTTCCTTAATGCCATAGTGGCTTCATTACCACTGCTCCATGCTGCCCACGGCTGTCATCTTCTCATGCACTGATGCTTTGTGTGGCCGTGGGGCAGGCAACTCACAAACTTGTGTTTCCTCAGGTGATGAAGACCTACCACATGTACCATGCAGAAAGCATCAGCGCTGAGAGCAAACTGAAGGAGGCGGAGAAGCAGGAGGAAAAGCAGTTCAACAAGTCGGGGGACATCAGCGTGAACCTGCTGCGGCATGAGGACAGGCCTCAGCGGCGGAGCTCCGTCAAGAAGATTGAGAAGATGAAGGAGAAGGTGGGTGAGAGGGAAGGGAAGGGGAGCCAGGCTGGGGTCGGGGCTCCCCAAGGGCAGGAGGGTTTTAGCTCCAGCCCTGTCCATTTCTGTGCAGCCATTCCTGTATCCCTGGGAAGGGGTTATGGAGGATGCCGACTCCTGTGTGTGTGTGTTTTGCTGAAGGGCAGTCTGAGGAGGACATAACGAGTCTCTTCACTGCTTCCTGGCCGTGGAGAGGTGCCAAAACCAGCCGCTAGCAAGGATTTAACCCAACGTCGGGCTGGCACTGCTCAGTAAGGAATGGGGACAGGGGACGTCGGGCAGTGCAGCCTTGGAGGGGGTGGTGGACCCGCACGGGAGCCACATGGCCACCCGTGACATCTGCCAGGCTGGCTCTCTGGAGGGAGGGCTGAGAAGGGCGGCCGGAGGGGCCTCGGAGGCCGACGAGAGCACACGGCAGAGACAGGCGGTGGGAGATGCTCGTACGCCAGCTGCTCGGGCTGGGGCCTGTGGGTCGCACCGGGGGCTTGACTGTGCCTCAGGTGGGACCCGAGAGGCTGCACTGAACAACGAGGAGGGCAGCGCACCGGTGTGTCTGGCTTGGCACAGCGATGCTTTCTGATCCAGATGTGGGACCCTGCTACGGGGGGCTGTGGTTTGTTCATGACTTATTTTTTTTTTTAAAAGCGCTTTTAACAGTGAACAATAGTTGTCCCAGGGTTCCTTCAGTCAGAGACTCGTGGCAGGTGAAAAAAGGGCTGGATATATAAAATAACAGTGTTTCTTCCTCCACAGACTGTCTGGGAGTTAAAATGCAGCATTTAGTTGGCTTTGCTAGTCAAAACACTTAACTCCATTGTGGCTTCAGCAAATCCCACCAGATCTCAGGATGTCCAAAACTTTTTCTGTTAATTTTGGAGAAAAAGCAATAGCTTCCCCAGCTGGGATGCATTTGCTTGCATGTTGACCCAGCACGGGGACATTGTCTAGCAGCATGCTTCTTTGAAGGGTTAATCTTCTGTGCTAAACCTTTAGACTAGTGATCTGCCTGAGCAAATGCCCCAGATCTGAGCACATCTGCTTTCCTACAGAGTTTTGAATTCTGGGTCCTGTTCTAAATTTTGTAGCTTGGGCCTCTGGGCCAGATTCCGCTTTGATACAGCTGCATAAATCTGGAGCAAGTCCAAATGTATGTCAGCGTTTCTGGGAGGAAAATTTGGCCCTCTAATTTTGATTGATGCCAAAACCTCCACGAATGCACAGATAAAGGAAGAGCAGCTGTGCTTGGGATGCACTGGGTACATCTGAGCAGAATGCTCTCATTGTGCATTGGCTGATGGCATGAGGGATGTTCAGATGTGATCTCCTCCATCCTGGCAAGGGTGCCTGCTTTCATACCTGATACCAAATTTTATTAATTAACATGTCACACCCAGGCTGCAGGGCACTGTGGGGCCCTGCAGCAAGAGAAGCTGTGAAAGTAGCATCCTATTTGTGCTCTGACACTCTATTTTGCTTTTTCAGAGACAAGCCAAATATTCTGAAAACAAGCTGAAGTGTACTAAAGCCAGGAATGACTACCTGCTGAACCTGGCAGCCACCAACGCAGCTGTCAGTAAATACTACATCCACGATGTCTCTGACCTCATTGATGTAAGTGCTTCTTCCCCCTGCGTGCATCCTTCCCGTTTTCTACTGATAAGCACACAGCTAAATCTTAAGCATGGTTTGGTCCTTAAATGCACTCTCATGTGGTGGTAATGAAGGGGTATTTGTTGGGGCTTTAAAATACACTTAACTGGGGCCTGAAAATGTGCTGTAAATTTTGGATATTTTTTTTACCTCCCTGTGGTGTTTTTTGAACTCCCAGCTGCATATACTCATTTAGCTTTCCCACCAGTTGATGAAGGCATATATGAGCAGAGCTAGAGCTGCCATTATACAGGAGTCATAGAATCATAGAATGGTTTGAGGTGGAAGGGACCTTTAAAGATCATCTAGTCCAACCCCCCTGCCATGGGCAGAGACATCTTTCACTGGATCAGGTTGCTCGAAGCCCCATCCAACCTGGCCTTGAACACTTCCAGGGATGGGGCATCCACAACTTCTCTGGGCAACGCTCAAGAGTCAGCCTCCTCTGAACTCTATGGTGGCCACGTGATCACACAACAAAGTAATTGATTAATATTTATGCTACGTATAAACTTTTCATCACTGTCTGGAAGAAAACATGGAGTTTTTCATTATAACTGCAGGGTATGAGCCAGCCTGAACCAAACACCTTCTTGAGCACCTAAGCAGGGGAGTCTGGATTGAACTGCATGGTTCAGGCATGTCTAATATACAGTTACAAACTAGAAACTGCTTTCATGTTTTCTGCACCTTTCATGCTGTATCACGAGCATGCTAAGGTCTGGTTATCGGTGTACATTGGCTCTGCCTTCAGAACTGCACAGATGTGCTTTCCTCCACGTTAAAGTGACAGCTTCATCTGCTGTGGCTCCCACACAGCAGGATGTCCTGCTGCTGGAGTTTCTCAAACTCCAGAGCCTTTGTAGGAGAATTTGCCTTGGGGCAAGCCAGGTGAGGCTGAGATTTCCTCCTGGCCCATCGATTAGTCTGCATTTGAAACAGATAAACTCTTAGGAAGATCAGATACATCCTTGTTTTTGTTGCTGAAACAGAAGGTTTTTTTTCTTTCTACTACATGCATCTGCAAGTTCTATCAGTATGAGCAGGCACTTAGCTCTCCTCAACCTTGGTGGCAGTTAAGCACATGTGCTTTCCTCACTAGGGAAGGCACTTGCTGAGTTGTATCCGAAGTGCTCCTTGCACGAAATAGCCTCAGGGCAGGAACTGCTGGAAGCAGGTTTCATAGTAGTAGTAGGAATTGAACAGGTGTGTATCAGCAACTCCTACTAACTGCTTTTAAATTATTTGAGAGAAGGGATTTCCATTTCTTCCTTTAATAGGCATCTTCATAGTGGTGTAGATTGCATAATGCAGAGTTTCTTCCTGCTAGAGTTGCTTCAGTGAGCACATAAGTGATCTGTAAGCACTGAGTTAGTCTTCTGGCTTCATCATTACCTAAATATATAATTTTAAAATGTCCTGGAGTGTTTATCTCCTTTTACTAACCCACTAACATATATTTATTCTCTAAGCATTGATTAAAGTAAGTCTGATGCAAAACCCCTGATGATTTCAAGATTTTGAGATATGATAAAATATTCTTAGTGTGTCGCTTTTGTTCTCTTCATTATTTAAGATGTATTTAGCCATATTAAAAAACTAATAACTTGATCTTGGAGACATTTGAACAGGAAGGTATGATAACACCTTGATTTATCTGTGGAGTTTCTGCTTTTTTTGTGTATATTCTCTCTCTCTTTTTTTTTTTTTTTTTTTTTAAGCAAGAATGACTTATATTCATGGAGTTTTGAGGAGTTTGATTTCCTGGAGAGTTGCCAAGTTCCATTTTAGTTCTGGCTATTTATATTATTTCTCCCAACTTTATTTCCGTGCTGACACTTCCACTGGAGTCAGCAGATGGCTTTTCTTCTGCACTCCAGGAATCCCTTCAGGGGACTTTAACTAAAGCATCTTCAACATTGTGCAGCTAAATTCCCCTAATTATATATTCTCTTCACTGAAGAAAACAAAATCTTGGATATGTGAGCTGCACACGGGTGTCCTAATTTTAAATCCCCAAAGGAAGAGCAGTTTATTTGAACAGACTTTTGTACAAATTCAATGTATTTTGCAAGAGCATGGCAAGAAGGGTTTCAGCACGCTCCAGAAGAAGGGGATCACATTCACTGTATCCCACTAGTACTGAAAGTGGTTGAAGGAGAAGACAGCCGTCAGAACCAGCAGCATTAGGCTTTCTGTAGGTGTGTAATCCATGTAATGAAAGATGAAGAGAACAGATGTTTTTAGATGTAGTTTTAAAGTTACTGTTTTAATCTTAGTACATTTAACAAGGATAAGATGACAGTGCCTTTCGCTCTCAGGAGCGACAGTGCTGTTTGCAAACGCGGGGTCTGTACCATGGGAGGATGTGAGTCCCCCACCCCTTGGCACAGCCCTGTTGTTTCATGGGATGCAGCAGAGGAGCTCTGAGCAGAGAAGGTGGATTTTGCCTTTGATCAAGAGCCAGCGAGCCCTTGGCTGCAGCAGCGTGAGCAGAGCGGGGCGATGCAGGACCCTGGGTGTCTGTGCGGGGGGAGCTGTGTCCGACAGAAGGAGCGGGTCTGCAGAAAGAGAGAGAGTGCTGAGGGGCTTTGTGGTAGGAACAGAGTTTTGGTTTTGCTCAAAACCTGGCTGGACGTGCTTTAATAGGATCCTAGGAGTGTCCATGTATTGCAGTTATGCAAATTCTCCCGGCTCCTCCACGCCGCGTCACCAAGGGGGGTGATTAACGATATAGCAGGCTGTCTTTCTGGGACATAGGAGGGGTGGTGGGGGGCTCCCGCACGCCCTTCATATCAAGCACAAATTGTCATGTGCAGTTTTTTGATTTGCACGCAAATCTGAACTGTCAGGACACTGGAGCAGCTAATTTAGCAGCATTTCCCCCAAATCCCAGATGGCTCAGTGTCATCTATTAGGCACAGCCTTGACATTTCTTGTGCCCTCAGCGTCACCACAGAGTAGTGACTTTTATAACAAAGCCGTTCTGCTAATCTCCCGCTCTGGTGAGAAAGAGGGTCCCAGCTGCTCTGGGAGAAAGCGGAGAGTCCTCCCAGGGCTGTGGTTTTAATGAGATATGTAAAACTTGATCAGAGGAGCTGTGAAGTGGCACAGAGCGCATCTATCCCTCCCTCCGTCTCCAGTGGCCTTTTTGTTTTGTCCTTTAGAAAAGAAGTAAAGAATATAGAGACAGATCAAATTAGACTTGGACTTAAAGTACACCGTTGTGCCTCTTCCCTCAAAAGAGGCATGTGTTTGTATTAAAACGCCTGGGTTCATCTCTCATTTCTGTCATTAACTGTGTGACCAAGTTAATCTCTTTGGCCACGTATGTGAAGTGGAGATAAAGCTGCTTATCCATCCCTCTGGAGTTCAGTGCGAAATGGCTCAAAAATATTTTGAAGTGGTCACATGAAAGATACTGCTAGATTTAGCAGAGTAAAATGTAATGGTTGGTGTCAATATGTACTGATCCACCAAAACTTGTTCAGCCTCCTGTAAATCCTTTTGAAACAGCAGCTTGTTTCTCTATGGGTTGGTGTGTTTGCCATATCCGAAACAAACAAGCAAGTAGAGGAGGGGAATTATAAGGAATTTAATATTACACATTACTGCCAAATTGTTTGGTCCCTAGAAAACTTAGCTGATGACATTGTCATTTTTCACATGGCCAAGTGATACTTAGTCAAGTTAGGAAACAGAAACAGCAGTCAAAATTTTTATGCCAAAAATCTTCAGTTGGCTTTACTTACCCCGCAGTAAAGCTCTAGGTTTTGCAGCAATGTCAAGAGAGTAGAGGCCAGAAAATATAATATATTTATAAATGCATAATATATCTTTAAAGAAAGAGTAAAGAAAATGTGAGGAAAAAAGGCAACAGAGCAGAGCAGATAAAGAGAACTGTTTGTTTCCAGCTAGCGCTGGGTACTGTGGAGGACTAGGAGTTAGGCTGCTGTTACCTAGTAAGTAAAGTGATTGATGGCAGGCTAGCTGGGATGCTCAGGTTTTACTCCAGGATTTGTCACTTGCTTGGGTGAGGCATGTGGCCCCATGCCATGCCGACAGCCTCGGCAGTGGGACTGGCTGAGCTGGGCTGTTGGACACCGTGGCTGTATTTCATGTGCAGGGTTCAGCCTCCCGAATAAGAGGGAGACTGAAAGGTGCTGAAGCCACAGACCGCTTTATTAGGATCTATTTTTAGGCACCTCCTACAGCTCATGTTGTCGTCGTTTCCATCAGTGGCTAATTGCCTGGGCACGTCTGTGCCTGCAGAGCCAGCGCCGGCTGCAGCTTGGCTTTGTGCAGCGCTTTCCCTCTGTGATTGCACGGGGACGTTGCCCTGGCCTGAGTAGCTCTGCCTGATGCCACTGGCTTTAATGAAGAGATAATGATTTATACAAGCAGAGGGTCTCTTTTGGGTGTTTGCTCTGAAGCAATTTTTCTAGCGTAAAGAGCCTTTCAGTTCCACAAAGGCACAGAGGTTCCTCCCACGCTGTCCTTTGAGTGGGCTTTCTGCCATGTAGCAGGCTCCTGCCAGCCCTAAGAGCCAGGTATGTTTTATCATGGAAACTCCATGCAAAGCGTCACTGTCACCGCACCATCATGTGGAGCAGTATCTGTAACTCAAAACTCACACTCTCCCAGGGAGGAGTGCCTGTACCACAGGCAGCTTACCATGCTGTGCGTCTGCAGCTGGGAGATCTGGCTTCAGGGTATTTCAAATAAAGTCAACAGTGCAGCAATAAAAGGAATAAACAGCTTCCATGAGGAGGAATTAGGCTGTCTCAAGAGGCTCAGTGCTCTTTACTGCACGGCCGCTGTGTCCCTGTTACCCGGTTTCCTGCAGAGGCGACAGTTTGGGAATGCCAGCAGCAGCCTGCAGCACCCAAGCTGGTCAGCATTCCCTGCCGCCGGGGGTGGAGCGCTGGGAAATAGAAAATACATGGGTTTAGGAGGTGCCG